TACCTTGAACCATTCAGGACGTGTTGGTTAAGCCGGCCGTGGCAGCACTGGTACAGCCAGCACGAACCCCGGGCAGCGCCGCCCCGGAGCCCCCAGAGCTGCCTCCCTCGGGGTCCCACGCTGTGCAGCCGCCGCTGGGTGTGAGCAGAGGAGCCCGGGCACACGCTGGGGGCTGCGGGGGCTTTGGGGGAGGACTGGAAGCCCCCAGCTCTGGCAGGTGGGGGCAGAGCCGTGCCCTGGGGGAACCCCTGCAGCCAGTTGCGGGGGCACTGGTAGAGGGCAGGGTGGGACCAGGGGGCAGCCAGCACAGACACGGCCACAGGCTGCTCCCAGCACCATGTTCTCTGATGCTCAAGAGGTAAGTAGTGCCCTCGCACTGCAGCTGTGGGCGCTGTGCTCACGGCTGTGTCTGGCACATCCTGTCCTGCCAGTGTGACTGCTGCAGCTCAGCTGCCACAAGGGACCTGGTGAGAAGGTACGTGCACACCGGGACCACAGGGCTCGCACAGCTGGGGGGACCACAGCTCGGCTGGAATGTCCTTGCCACTGGCCATCATGGGGCAGAGCAGGACTCTGTGCTGCTGGGGAGCCGTGGGGCTTTCCATCACTTTCCTGCTCCACGCTGGCCCTTTGCATGACACAGAGCAGCACCCATCAGCCCCAGGAGCAGTGCTGCAGGACATGGGGGATGAAGAAGCATAGCCTGGCAGGGAAGCCCTCAGCTAGTTGTGAGGAAAGGGCCCAGCTCTGTGAGCACTCACCTACCCATGGCCTCTGCTGCAGCTGGGCGTAAGCCCAGAGTGGTGATGCCAGTTAGCATCATTAGGCCTTGTTAAGGTGACGAGCTCTCACTGCTCTGCTGTGCCAGTCTGCCTCTGTTCAGTCTGCTGGAGCCCAATTACTGTCACATCCAGGAGGCAGCTCCCGCAGTGGTGGCAGGCACTCTTGGCACAGCCCTACCCTGGAGCTGCTGTCCAGCTGAGACCGGGCAGAGCACAGTGCAGGGCCTGGCTGTGGAGCCTGCCCACAGCTCCCTCTGCACATGGGCCCAGGGGTATTGGGCACAGAGTGGGGTGAAGATCTCCTACTTGGCCTTGTGCCAGGGGCCAAGCCTTGCTATCCTCTCTCAGCTCTGGGGGGCTCAGCTCTCAGCCCATGCCCTCAGCCATGAAAAGGGGGTGCAGCATGTCTCCTCTCCTAACAGGACAGCAGGCCCTGTGCCACCTTCACACTTTATTATACATCAAGGTCTCAGATATTCCAGTTCTTTGATTTCTTGGAGCCAGCACACACAGGGGTGCACACAGCGGAGGGGTTGGTGTTCACAGCCCCCATCCACTGGGCAGTGTGGGGTGAGGGGCTGTGAGGGGCAGGGGTCTGCCCAGCCCCAAGGTGAGTGAGGCTGCAGAGTGGTGGTGGGGGATGCCCCCACAGAGGGCGGATCCAGTGTGGGGTAGGTGCACTGTGGTGAGTACTGGGTCCCCAGGCAGGCATTACCAGGCTCTGCCAGAGCAAGGCCATGTTCCCCACCATCATTGCTATGAGGCACAATCCCTGAAGAGCCCAGCAGCCAGCGGCACTGAGGAGTTTTGGCCAAGCAGAGGCAGAGGATGGGAGGCCAGGAGCAGGGCAGGAGGTTCAAGCTGCACTGGGGTCAGGGAGGAAGATGGGGGCTGAAGGCAGAGGGAAGACAAGGCCTCACACACACTGCCCCAAGCCCCAGCCCCACAGCTGTGGGGTCAGCAGCACCCCCAGCTCCATGGGCTCTGTGACAAGGTACAGGTCTCCCTACTCCCTGAGACAGCACAGTCCTGCTTCTAGGGCACATCAGGGGCAAGACTGAGGGGGGGCAAGGACAGAACTCAGAGCCAGTAGAGAAATGGGAAGACAGAACCTTCCTCCCACAAAAACCTCCAGAAGCAGTAATGCAGAGGTGGAAATGCTGAGAATGGGAGTGAGAGAAGAGGTGAGTTTTTGAGGGGGTTGTTGGCCACAGGTGCTGGCAAGGCACAGGAATAGAGTTGAGAGAAGGGGGAATGGCACTGGCCCCAGAGAGCAGAGAGAGGTTTTGGGATCTTGGGGGTGACCCACACGCTCACCCCCCTGGGGCAAGGCAGGGTCCGGTCCCTCAGACTCAGGTGGTCACTTTGATCCCAAAATATTTGCGCAGCTGCTCCAGGAAGAGAAAGGTGAGAACAGTCTGAGGAATGAGCCGGACAGCAGCAGGAACAAAACCCTGGAAGGGGACAGCAAGAAGGGGAAGAGTCAATGCCTGCCAGCGGTTGTTCCAGCAGCCCAACCCCGTCAGCAGCACGACTGAGCAGGCACGGGTCAGCACTGGCCAGGCTGTGGAGCAGGCGCTGTCACACCATGGCCACCACGGTGCACACAGGTCTCGGCACCATGTGCTAACCCCTCTGGCACTCCCTGCACTGCTGGTGGGAGCTTGATGGGTGCAACAGGGCCACAGCTGTGGTGCCTGGGCCCAGGCTGAGTCCCACTGAGGCCAGGGCTTGATGCCACAGCAGAACCTGGAAGGTCCCCTGCCCCAGGAGTGTTCAGGAGCACAACTCCTGCTCCCAGCTCAGCCCAGCATACCCCACCCATGCACCCTCAGCCAGGTACCTTGTAGAAGGCAAGCGGTCCGAGCTTGGCAGTCTCCATGGCACAGTGAACGACACCCTGGAGTGAGAGGTTGAAAGATGAGGTGGGAGGGGCTGGGAAGCAGAAGCTGGCACACAGAGATGGGAGGACAGGCAGCAGCAAGGTGGGCAAGGTGGGCAGCTCACCTGGTACTCTCCGTGGGAGTTCATGAGGCGGGTCTTGAGCACATCCAGGGGCTGGCACAGGAATGTGGCACATATACCCTGCAGAGAGTCATCTGAGTCAGGAGACCTCCAGCAACTGCTGTGGTCACTGGAGAGACTCAGAGCCACACTGGGACTCAACCTCAGGCCAGGAGCCTCCTGGAGCCAATGTGCCCGGCCCTGCCCTGCTGAGCCCAGAGTGGCAGCTCTGGCAGCCCCAGCCTGACACTCTGAACCTGGCTGCAGGCAAACCCAGCCCCAGCTGTCCCTCCAGACCCCAGCCCTACTCACAGCGATGAAGCTGGACAGGAAATGAGTGAAGACATTGTCTGACAGCAATCCAGTTGCAAGAACCAGCTGCTTGGCCTGGTCATAACAGGAAAGCTACAGAGACATGGTGAATCAGTGACATGTTCCCCCTTCCTTGCCACACCAGGGACCATCCTAGTCCCTGTCTCAGTCACCTACCGCCCGGCAGAGCTGTCCTACCTGCCCAACAGTAACAAGGGCCCCGCGGGGCGATGCCACTGATGCTCCTGAAAAGAGTTTCTTCAGGCCCTCTGCGGACAGACAGATTTGGATCAGCACATTTCTCTGCAATCACTCACACTCCATTACTCTGGGAGCCTCCTTCCATGCCCAGTCTGTGTCCCCAACTCCTCACACAACCCTGCGTGAAGCACACCATAGCAAACGGGCTGAAGGAGCAGGGAGTCCTTCAAAACAGCATGACTTCCTTCTTGCCTCTGCTCATCTGCTGTTCCAACTTTCTCTTGGAGCTCCCAGCAGGTCACCCTTTCCCACCAAGTATGTGCAGGCTGCCAGGCCCTGCTACACCTTGCCCAGCCCCTGCCAGACTACGCAGAGTTGCCAGACCCTGCTCTCCCCTGGACTCCCCCAGCCCCAAGGGCATTCCCAGGCCCTCTCCCTGCCCCGGCTGAGCGAACTTCCAGGGTAAGCCCTGACCGGCACCTGCTAGGACACCGGAGCAGGCTCACCCACACGGCTGGCACGGCCTCACCTTCCCGGAGGACTCGGTACATGCCATCCAGGGCATGGGAATAACTGGAAGGAGCGAGAGGGGAAGAGGTCAGGGCCCGAGGCCTCCCAGCAGGGCGG